AGTAATAGTAATAGGAATAGCAATAGTAATAGGCAAAGGAACTGCGGCTACGGCCCTGCTTAGCAGCTCGCACATGCCTTTCGGTCTAAGGCCAAACGAGACAGAACCGCCTGTGGTACACACCCAAAAGATTGCGACTTGATGCAATGGAAGTTGTGTTTCGTCTTGCGGTCACCAGGAAGATTGAACAATCTAGCTCCGAAGACTTTGTTTGGTGACATCCTGGCCATCAGGAAGATACCATCAAGGAATCTGTCACGACCAAGAAGGGCAAAATCGCTCGTCATCTGATGCAAGAACTGGCTGCAGCAGGGCATTGCTAGAGACTTGCCATGTCTTTTTGCGGCCATGGTGGTCCGAGGTGAGACCAGCACCAAAGGTGCCTTGCTGCATTTCGAGCAAAATGCATTTTGAATGCTGCCTTCGCAAGCCAATCAAGAGGCCCTTGTCGCAGGAATCCTTGTCATCAGGGCTTCTGCCACCGTCCTTGCGAGATAGACCTTCCTGGCAGGAGCTCGAACCATTCTCTCGCGTAGCTCAAGCTCTCTTTTCGCTTGCATGTCAGCTTCCAGGATGTCATTACAGCCAAGGCAATGGCACCGAGTCTGCAACAGACTCAGACGCCTTGCAGAATGGGACACAGGCCTCAACCCCCTCAAATTAATGCCCGCAGCATTGTCGACAGACTGGACTGATAGCTGCATCCTGCTCGCAAGGGTATTGCAAGGCAATGGTACGTCGAGTGGCAGCAGTTGTTTTGCAGAGTTTCTCGCACTGTTCTTACGACATGAACGATGAGCGATAGGAAGCAGTCAGTCAACTCTACACGGCTGGCTCATGCTCTGGCTCATGCTAGCTCCAAGTCCTTGAAGGCACCACAGCACTCCACATTATCCTACATCGTTCAACAGATCTCAGGCAGTTCGTTTCGGAGGACCACGGATACGAGCTTGTCACGATGCTCTGGGGACGGGGTGCTACGTGGGCCCGTGGTCCAACCCGACAATGTCGCGAGTACTCGCTGATTGTAAGTTTTGGCGTCGGTCTGCTTTGGTGGCCAGGAGTTGGGTTGTTTGTTCAGCAGGTTCACGGTCTTATGTGCGAGCCTTTCGGTTGAGGCGTGGGTGGCCAACGTGGGCTGCAAAGGTCTGGATTTCGGCTCTAGGTGACCGAAATTCTAAATTCAACACTTGGTGCTGGGATCTCGGAATCGATGCCAGTCGTTAGATTCCGAGATCGACACTCGTTTGTGGGTCTGGGGTGTGTGGAAATCCCCCTTCTTGGTGTGGGCGGCCAGCCACTCGGGAATGCTGCGCTGGGAACGTGGATGAAGAGCAGCCTAATTAAAGCTTGAATCCTGGGACAGGGCTGTCAAACACAATCACGCCAGGGCCGGAACAGCTCCCCGTCCCGGCGTGTTGTGCGCTTTGCAAGCTACTGCTGGACGCAGTCAGACAGCCTCGCCGAGTAGCTTTGCCCATGAGCAGGTTGACGAGCACACGGCCTTTGCTCACGCGCACTACCAAAAGAATGCAACAAATGTAACTTTGCCGCAAAGCTTGGAAGATTTCGGCATAGCATGCCTTTGTGCCCCTAGGATGTCGGCCCTGCATCTGTATGTAGCATGTGAACTGCCTTAGACTCCATATGAGTGTTCTGTAAGAAACCACGTGCAGCCAGTCGTCTTGGCTTGGTTTGCTGCACCAGCTTTCACAAGACAGTCGTCTTGGTTTCGCACACCGTAATTCCGCCAGATGTTAAGGGGACTGACATTTCTGTCGTCGTCCGGATCGCCGAGCCGAGTCTTGCTTGAAGGAGATCGTTTGCACCCCGGCAGTCCGTCAGTTATCAAACCTTGCTGTGCTATGTGTTGGTCCAAAGTGTGCATAGCATTCCGAGGAATCAAGTCATCACCCTGTACCTGTTCATCTTCGTTCCACTGGCAATGGCCTGGACCTACTACTACTATCGAGGCCCTTGCACAGACCATTCGACCGCGCTGTTTGGTGACACTGCTTGCAAAACCAAGATTGAAGATCAAAACTCCTAGATAAGCTGATGAGGCTCCGAGGGTACTTCGCAACAGCAGCTCTACCTGCTTCTGCTGCAGAACCTTGAGCTGCAAATGGTCCATAGAAGCCGCTCTACGTATGCGTACCACATGCATTGCTGCATTCCTACATGCAAAATCTGATATACGCGCGGGCACGCATGCATTCCTACATACCTACATGCCTATATACGTATACATATCTACAGTTATCTACAGACGTATCTACATACATACACACATACTTCCCACATGTGCACGCTCCTGCACACCCACGTCATGGGTGCAGCAAAACATGACCCCCGCCCCCAACTGGTCTGCTTCCTTCACTCTACTTTGACACCGTTCTGCAACATAGCATCAACCACTGCAATCTACACATTCACCCTTTTCTGTCCTTATGCCATCGGCTTGAGCCTTTATGTGGACGTGATTCTTTCTGCTGCTGGCCCCGGCTGTCTTTGTGCCAGCGGAGTTGGACAGGTGCGATTATTTCGGCAAGTTTCGTTTCCAGCTCCCTTTTATCCACTTCTGCTGTCATCGGGGAACTGAGCTCCCAAAACCATAAATAACAGACGCGCCCCCCCCGATATTGTAAAGAAAAGAGACTGGCTAATGCAGGGCAAGATGGTGGCTGGGGGCATAGCCGAAACTTCCTGCGAAAGGAAGGGGACAGCTAGCAAGAGGAAAATCGGTGGTCAGCAACAGCGCCAAGTTGCTGTTCCTGGTTCGCTTCTGCAGTTGATGTCTGAAGTTTCGCGGCGTGGACGTTGGAATGGTTGTGACTTGCGAAAGTTAAAGAGGAAGCGTGTCGCATAGCTGATTATTGGTGTACTCTGCAAGAAAATGTTAGGATTTGCCGTCTTGATATGCTAGGAGTCACAGCACAGCTTTTGTAGAAGCTTGAAAAATCTTGAAAAAGGAGGATGCTAAGGAGCATAGCTAGGTGTATAGCGAGGGCTCCAGGAAGCATTGCGGCAGGGAGTATCAGGGGTTTGGAGGCTTGTTAGGAGTTTGAAGGTGCTTGGTAGCATGCATAAGCGGATCATGATGCCCGTGAGCATATCTGTTGACTGGCGTGGTTAATAAGGTAAGCACTTGCGCGGTTACTACTTGAAGATATGTAGTGGTGGTTCGTTTTCAAAAGTAGCAGCGTTTACGGGTTTGCGGGTGCTGGTATGACGTATTGTAGTACCTGTCCCCCAGATTTGCGATCCACTGTAGCAGGGGCTCGTGGAAAAACAGATGGTGATCATGAAGATTTCCGTGAGGGTGCAGCATGTTGATCGGCGGGGGATGCAGATATGAGTGTTTGTGTGTGTGTGTGCGTATATACATGTATACAAACGCGCTGCATAGTGGCGTTTATTGATATTGGTGGCATGGTAGTACAGTGAATTGAGTGTGCCTCTGTGTGTTTCGGAGGACGTTTCTTGCTGAGGCTCAGTGTTGCGGCCCTGAACCTGGGCACGGTTCTGGTGAACCAGTCACTTTGTGTTCTGATGAAGGCGCCGATGGCGCTCACAGCTATGCAAAGTGTCGCTATGCTGCCCGACCACACAGGTTCACAAATTGACATTTTCGGTTCTTGCTTTCAACGTTGGCTATTCTGGTCTTCGGGGCACTCCGTTGCGCCAGCCTTGAGGCTCGTGTTCGGATCTGGCCTTACCCTGGTGCACTTCTGGAGAAGCGAATCCAGGCCTGGATGGGTAGGGGCACTTGCAGTAGCAAATCGATGTCGAGTCAGTGCGCGACTGCTTGCTGGTTCATGCTTGGATTTCAGCTTCGGGTGTAAAGTTTGCACAGGCCAACTTTTGGTGCCTTGCGAAAAGATTTGACGCTTTGGCTGCCGGCTGCAGCAGCTTTTGGTGCTCTGGCTGCAATGTGCTGGGTGCTTGTTGGACTGCGTCAATGGTTAGATTGAAGCTTCAGGAAATGTAGCGTCACTCTCTCGCTCTCTCTGTTGGTTGCCAATGGCAAGAAGCGGACCCCCTCCTTCCCCCCCTCCCCCCACCCGCCCCATCCAGCACGAGATAGCTGCAGAGAAATCGACACAAGGAGCAGACCTATAGGGATGGAGCAGCGAAAAGTGGAACCCCTACTGCCCTAGTACGGTATGTCAGAGTATCCACCCAACGTTGCGGATCTTTGAAAAGCATGCTTCAATTGCTCGTGCTCCGACCGCACACATCCGAGTGGCTTCGACATCTGCATGGAACCGCTCTGAGTGCGTCTGCTTGCAAGTTAGCATGCCAAATCGATGGAACGTCGGTGCAGACACGGAATACCCCCTGACTTCGGCAGGCGCCCACCTCGGATCAGTACGGAAACGAGTTGATCGAGCGAGCGGTCAATTTTTTCCTCGGTCCCCCGGCACCTGAAACTGCGTCGGTCACATTTGCTCGGTCGAGCCGGTTGCCATCGGCTCGGTCTGACGGGTTGGCCTGGCCGAACAACCCCTCTCCATCATGATCACGCGCCCATGGCATTGTCCTGAGCTCTGCAAAACACGAGGCGGCTCCATCTCGAGTGCTGTGCCTGGAGTTGTGGGGTGAGCTTACTGTCGCGTCTGCAAGTCGCCCTCTTCTTTTTGATCTGTCTGTCTCTCTCCCTCTTCTTCGAGCTCGTAGTGCACACTTGACACGCTGGCAGTCTGACAGCCCAACTGTGCGAGAATGCATCCATGCCGGTTTGGAAGCGGTTACTTCTGACCCTACGCTCCAAATTTACAGCCAGGTTAGCTGGCACTCGCTTGTTTCTACTTGTGGCTCTGGCTTAGGAACTTCTGCAGCCTGCACTCTCTTGAATGTGCGGAAGAGTCAGAACCACCGGATGACCTGCGACTCCCACCGGGGTTTGGGGTCTTCAGAGCCTGCAAGAAGTAGAAAGGGTGCCTGCGAGCGCATAGTTGGGAGAAAGGATAAAGGAGAGCTTGTCATCCAGTGCGCTGCATGGGCTTCTGTTGCACAGCCATTGCACGGCTTTACACTCCCCACGCGCATGGCTGCGCCTTCGGGTCAGTCTCACTCCGCGAAGACGCTTGTGACCAGTCGTTGTGTGTTTCGTTCGCGAGCGCTCAAATAGTAAAGTTAACGAATCAGGAGAAGACACATGATGTCCGCAAGCTGAGCAAGACGAGCCAATCAGGAAGGATGAAAAAGGGATCATGCACTTCAACACAGAGGCATTTGGTGACGGAAGCAACAGCACCGCTGCAAGCTGTGGCAAGACACCCGGGCTGGGGACGAGTCAGTGTAGGGATACGGTCCAGCACCAAGCCGAGGTGTCTATCAGTTAGCTGACCACTTCGAGGCCAACTTTTGTTCGCTCTCGGAGCGAACAGTCTTCGGAAATTTGGCACCCGTCCTGGGTCTGTTTCTTGAACTGAGCCTCGCGTCCTTCATGCAACCGCGAGCATCTGAGAAAGCATCTGCCAACCTGTCGTCCAAGATGGCGCTGGCCGCCAAAGTTTTCGGAGCGACTATCTTCGCGCTGCAGTATCCAGACTTCAATGCCAAAGGTATGGAGGTGTCAACGTATTATGTCATCTCCATGGTGATCTACAGGCTCGTGCAGCGTTGTATTTTGGGCCATGTGCATAGCCCTCTCGCCGTCCTTTCAGCAATTGACGGTGCTGTCTGCTTCGTGATCGCGGGATGCCTGAGCAGAAATGAAGTTGATGATATGTCTGAGTCTCTACATCTGTGGTGGAGCAACGGATCCATAAGAACAATGCTCGCTTTATCCTTCGTGGTCTTCAGTATCGGACACTGGACCACGCTGCACCTTGTGAATACAGACACAGCCACGGCGGTGATGGTTATCGGCAATATCTCCAGTGGTTTCAGTGTCTTTCAAGGCTCCCGCCCCAGTCGTGTCTTCATTGCCTGCAGTATGAAGTTCAAACAGCTTGATGCTTTAAGAAACCGAGGTATTCTGTTTTTCCATGACGACGACTTTCAACGGCCCATGGCCTTTGCCACTGTGCTGCGTCAGTTCGGGTGGTGCTTGTAGTCCCTTGCATCTTGCACATGTCGCACAAGGCTGGAATCCTGATTGTGATTTTTGCCGGCATCTGGTGGACGATTAACCAAAGCATGGGTGCTACTGACAAGGGTGAAAAGCAGATAGACGAAGACGTTGTTGCAGTGCTGCTTGGTTCCAATACCGCCTCGCAACAGTGTGCGGAATTGTCTGTGACAGCACGTGGGCATCATTTTCCTAGTTGACAGTATCTTTTGACTTCCGACGTGATGCGAGGTCTGCTCCTGAAGACGGACAGTGATTGTCCAGAGTCATACCAGTCAATGACGGTGTGACTGAGTGTGTCCGAGGAGTCTCACCTGTGCCGTAGCAGAGAAGTAAAACTCAGCTCAAAGTGTCGGTTCGGGAGCCGAAAACACTTACCTGGCCGTGATATCTCCAGCTTGCAGCACGATGTCCATCTTCAGAGCTAACTTTGCTGTTTTGCGAGGTGACATGGGGCCAATGCGACAGACGACAGTAGTCGATGAGCGAGACAAGCCTCCTGCACCTCCCACGAATTTGGCCTGATCCCCAGCTGCCACCTTGCATTTCGTCTGAACTCTCCTTCATGATCTTGTCACAAAGCCTGTTGCAAGGCATTGGGTTTCCTCCATGCCGGCTACGTCCCTCCTGTTCTCCCTAAAGCAGCTTGGCTGAAGCGCCTGAGCTTTGCCGCTTTGTTGGTTTCGCCTTTTTCAGGTTCCCCGTGGGCCATCTTGAAGTGACGAGCTGCCTGTGATAGAAGGCAGGGAGGGTATGGGCAGGGGCATGGACCGTCGCCCGTTGCGATGCTTCAAGGGCCTTGCTTCACTCAGTGTGGTCAGGCGTTGGTCCCACGCCATGTCGAGCTCCTCAGCCCGGACAAGGCGCGACTCTACAGGAGTCGGCTTGCTTTTCTGTAAGAAGCGGTGTTGTCAGGACCCTCCCCGCGCTCCAGGATCTTCGGTGTGAGATGCGTCCTCATGATGTTCGCCGGGTCGTGCTACTGTGCGACATCTTCCAGATGGCTACCACCTACAAGCGTGTGACGCTTGAAGTGTTGTAGGACCTGAGGACTATTTGAGAGTAGTGGATGGTGCCCGGAGCACCAAGACCATGACCCCTTCACAGGAAAAGCGCGGTCAGTCTAGATTATACTGATGCTCTTCTTCTGTTCAACCACGTTCTAATGTGCCAGGAGAAGCTGAAGGCCAAGGGCTTGTCAACTGCCGGCGAGCACGAACAGCCCAGCCGGCTGTTGTTTGGTGCCGTGTGTGCGGGAAGATGAACCGTTCTGACACGTTCAGATGAAAGGTTGGTCTTTCGACTGACACAGGCGCAGGCCGATTCTTTTTGAGAGACAGAGACAGGGACTTGACTAGAACGCTGCGGAGAGGCCGAACCGTCTTTGCGTTCATGTCAGCCGCGATTGTTGTTGTCTTGGCGACAGATGTGGGGTTGTCAAAACCTCGCCAACTCGCTTGAACTCGCCGGTTTCGGCTCAGCTTCCTTCCGTGCCGGGAGCCCGTGGTCCTGCGCACGGTGGAGCTCGGTGAGCGGCCCCGGCGTAGGCATCGGGGGGTCTGCAAGTCCGTCTGGTGATTCCTTACATCCTCTTGCTTGGACACAGCAGAGATGTCCGAAAGATTCTCCTGACAAGAGTGATTTCTCTGGGCCCGAACTTGGCGAGGATATTAGGATGCCGCTTCGACTGGACATCAAGAAGAAGCTGTCCGCCAGGCAACGATACGGTCGAAATCCAGCAAGCTCCGAAAAAGATGGGTTTGATTTTAACGTGGTGCGGCGGTGAGACAGCCGGAGGTGCACGCCAACATAAACAGGAACATACATAAACCGTCCGAAACGGAAATTCATATCTCTGCAGATGCAGAAGCTGGGAGCACCCTCATGTAGGGTTGTGCTGATTCGCAGGAGTGACCGAGTGAAGTGCGTCGACTTTCACCCTTCGGAACCCTGGACATTGTCAGCACTCTATTCAGGCCAGGGAGACATGTTGGTGAGATTTCCCAGAAGCAGAAGTGCAAATTGCCAACAGGCAACATCTTCATCTGGGACTACAACACGCAGACTTTGGTGAAGCAGTTCGAGGTGCCCTGTTGCCAAACCCCTGAAAGGTGTGCAGACCTGTGATTGAGAGTCAAGTCCGTCATGCTGAGGTTTGCAACTTGCCAGTGCGATGTGCCAAATTTGTGACTCGCAAGCAATGGATCGCCACTGCTTCGGATGATATGCACGCCCGTGACTCAGACTGAGTTGGCAACATGGTATTCGAGCCTGCCCTTGTATCCATTTCCGAGATACGCGTTTTCAACTACAACAGCCTGGAGAAAGCTCACGAGTTCGAGGCCCGTGCCAAGCGGAGTGCACAGACTCCCCGATTGGGTAGCACCGAAGGCACTTCAGACCAACCCAAGAAAGGCCCACACGGACTACATTCGGTACATCGCGGTGCATCCGACCCTGCCGTATCTCTTGTCCTGCTCGGATGACATGTCCATCAAGTCTGGGGGCCAAGTGCCCTTCTGAAGCGGGTGCTTTTCTGTCATTGGGCTTCATCCCCAAGGCTCTGGGACTGGGACAAGAATTGGCAGAACCTTCAGGCCTTTACGCGGCCTTTACTGACTTTAGGCCCCCAGTCAGGGCTCCCTGGCGATGCCTCGAGGCCTTTGAGGGGCACGCGCACTACGTGATGATGTGCCAGTGGAATCCCAAGGCCAAGCCTTTTGCAGAGCTGCGGTGGCATGATGATTTGCCGCAGTAGCATGCAGGATGCGAACATCTTTGCCTCGTGCTCCCTGGACCGGTCAATCAAGGTCTGGGGTGTGTCCGGAGGAGCAGGTCGGGCATCCCTATCTGTAGAAGCCTTGCTCAGCAGAGTCTCGCAAGCAGGTGGAACCAGCAGCTGCCACTTTACCCTCACCGGCCACCAGCGTGGGGTCAACTGCGTGGAGTGCCCCCGGATTTTGCATGAGCGTCAACGCCAACTTAGTCTGAATTTGTCAGTGGCACTCGTTCACCCGGTCCACTCCTGCTTTCAGGTACTCGCCTGGAGGCGAGAAGCCCTACATCATCTCAGGGTACCTGCCTTGCTTTGCAAACCCGACAGCCAGTGATTCAGATCTGCTGAGCTAGCTTCTTCTTTGGCTGCCATGGTGCTGAGGTCAGATGATCGGAGCATCAAGATCTGGGACTACCAGACCAAACAGTGCTCCAGCTGCCTTTTACAGCAAGTCCTTCTGGCCAAAGGCCGGGAAGACACATGCTGGTCATGTGTGCCTAGCAGGTGCATACAGACGCTGACCGGGCACACGAACAATGTATCTTATGCCACCTGGCCTGTCATAGGATGTTCTTGCGATCCGCCATGTTTTCAGCTCCAGAAGCCTGCCACACGAGAGCTCTGAAAGTCATCCCAACAGCTGAGGCACTGTTCCACCCAGCTTTGCCCATCATCCTGACAGGCAGTGAGGACGCGTTAAACGCAAAGGGCTCCGTAAGCTCAGACGAGTCCTACGTGTTTTTCTCGCCTCTAGCATGCTCGAGACCATGCAGGGTTTTGAAATTTGGCACTCGTCCTTAAGTCAACTCCAGGACGGCACCGTCAGGATATGGCATGGGTCTACGTATCGCTTGGAGGCTGTGCTCTCAGTGTCCCTCGATGGTGTGTTGCACTCAAAGCCTGTCGTCTCTCACACTTACTTTGAAGGCAGGCTTGCGACGGAGCCGCGCTTTGAAAGTTGTCCGTTACGCATGGGCAGGCCACGCTGAGCTACTTCTTGGAACGCGTCTGGTCCATCGCCGTGCTCAAGGGCTCGAACACCGCTGGGGACCCTGATGTTGCTTGGGTCTGAAGCAGACGGGCGAGCCGCCGAGCCCACTGAACCCCAGGCTGCTCTGGGATACGATGAGGGCACTGTCGTGATCAAGCTTGGAAGTGAGGCCAGATGCTAAGCTGTCGCTGACATGTCCTCGGGGCGGCAGCTTTGCAGGAGCCAGTCGTGTCCATGCACTCGGGCAAGATCATATGGGCGGACCCGGCGTGGTTTGGATCCGTTAAAATTCGCTTCGGTGTGCATCGCCAGGCCAAAGGCAATGAGATCCAGACTGCAAACCTCAAGCTCTTGGACGAGGGTGTTACTGCGCGGGAGGGCGAGAAAGTCCCGCTGAGCGTGAAGGAGCTCGTGCCCTGGAGGGCTCGAGGGTAGGGCAAAGGGGAGTGCAATCTTGCTGAACTCGCAGATCTTGTTGAAGCAGGACATGGGTGCAGCAGAGGTCTTCCCTCAGTACATTGCGCACCACCCAAACGGTGCGCACACCTCTTGAAGCCGAGAGACGAGATGTTGGATTTCCTTGTAGTTGCTAATTTATTGCCAGGCCGTCTTTTTGCAGTTTGTGGCGATGGCGAGTTTGTCATCTACACAGCCCAGGTAGGGTGTGCACCTGGTACTTGCCGTTCTCTTCGAAGCGAAACACAGTGTGATGCGAGGCGCTCCGCAACAAGTCCTACGGTCCTGCATTGGAGGCCCTTACCGGAGCTTGCCCAACTCGAAGAAGCGAACTATTAACTTGACCAGAAGAAGTTTGTCAGGGGCTTTCAGATCAGTCTGGAAGAAAAGAAGGAAGCGAGACAGTTGGTTTGGGAAGTGGTCCAAGGGAGCTTTGCTTTCGACCCGTATTTATGCCCGCCCAAAGAAGACAGAGAGACAGAAGAGCACCGACCTCTTTGTTCATCGTCCCATGGTGGTCTGTGAATGGAAGAGACAAGCCTAAAACAGGCTAGGCCCATGCCACAAAAGAGGCCAGAGCGAAGATTGTTTAGACGCACTCGCCTTTCCCTGGAGTTCTGCTGGGCGCATTCCGGCGCCTATGCGACTCGAGATGGAAACGGCAAGATCACCGTTTTCCAGGACACTTCTGCTGCGCTGCTGCACACGGTCTCTATAAATGCTGGGTGGCGCTAGAAAGCTACCGGCCAAGCATGTCCCACTGTCAGTCTGATCTCTTTGCAGCTGCTAGGCAAACTGTACATACTATACACTGTAGTCTAACTTGAAGCGTTTGTGGCCAAGTCCTCCAGTGCCTCCACAGGACTTCAAGGAGAGCTTTTCCTTTAAGCCTCCCTTCACCGTCGAAGAGACCTACGGAGGCGGGCAAGGGAAAGGCCCGTTTTTAGCCACGAAGATGCAAGTAGTTGCTCACTGGACACTTGCTTGAAGGTCGCTTGCTTGGCATCCGCGGTGGCGATTTCATCTGTTTCTATGACTGGACGGAGCCATGGCCTTACACTGGAACATACTGGAACCTGAAAGACCCTGGTCTGTATTAGAGATCTCAGGAGCGGCCTGTTGTCATGTCCCCATTCGCCGAGGTATCGGCTCATTCGCCGCATTGATGTGGTGCCAAAGGATGTCATTTGGCCCGATGCTTGGGACGACGACCATAGGAGCAGACATCGACGGTGCTTTCGCTTTTCGTGCCCAGCATGAACGTGTCAGGTCCGAGGAGGGTACCTCCGTGGTGCTCATCTGCCCCGACTCTTTTTATGTGCTCAGGTGACCAGGGTGGATGTATCGGTGGGGGTTACGCCATGTGGATACCCCGCCTGCCCCTGCCAGACACGACAAAGATGCTGTGCAAGCGGCCCTGGTGTCCAGTGGAATGGTGGATGAGGTGCACCAAACAATCCTTTGCTTCCTTTAAGTCCCCACGTTTACTTGCCCGCTTCCAGGATGGGATCGAGGCAGCCTTTGACCTGCAGCATGAGATCAATGACAAGGTGCGCTCAGATACTGACGTGTTTGGAAGGCGCTCGCGACGAAGAACTTAAATCCTAAATCTTACACTCCGGGCGATGGTCGACGGTCTCGCGGATCGTCCTTCCCGGCTGCCGAGGTGGTGAGTGGGCTTTGGGTTGGAGATTGCTTTGCCTCATCCTCGGATGCTGAAGAAGTTGTTTTTATTCCTCATGTATTTCGCTAGCATCCCGTTCCTTTTCATCGCCCGTCTTCCTCTTGATGCTCTCCCTTACTCCACCGGTCAGTGGAT